AGCCAGAATATTTCCTAGTCTATCATATGTTTCCAATCTAATCAATATACTCAACAAAAGTGTCAAAGATTACTACTAGTGGTTCAGAGAAAAGGATACCTCCGGAACCGTAGCAATAAGATGTGGTTGCAGAACAGGGTTAGGATAAGGGAGAGTGAGGCGGATGAGCACACAGCGGATTCATTGATCCACTGCCACTGGCACTGGACATATAGGAGTACATGATCTACTTAGAATACAAGACAAGCCAGAATATTTCCTAGTCTATCCTATGTTTCCAATCTAATCAATATACTCAACAAAAGTGTCAAAGATTACTGCTAGTGGTTCACAGAAAAGGATGCCTTTGGAACCGTAGCAATAAGATGAGGATGCAGAACAGGGTCAGGATGAGGGAGAGAGGGCAGATGATCACGCAGCGGATTCATGGATCTACTTCCGCTACCGCTGGACAAGGAGAGATTTTCGGGGTGGAGGGACCTCGGGATGGCCCTACCGAAGTCCTCGAGCTGGCGACTCCGGTGGTCGGAGATCCCTTCAGCGGAGGCGCCAGAGGGGCGAGTGGGGATTTTTTTTCCTTTCGGGGTCAGCAGTTGGCAGAGAAAACTGAGACATGGTAGTATTTTTTAATTGATAGTATATTCAATTACACGTAGGATATTATTTGGGTGTTAATTATGTGATTAGCACTGAAATTAATATTTGATATGATTATTTTTGCAGAGAAATTTCGAATCTATTCATTAATCATAGCAGTACAGAGAATACTATAGAGATAATAAAAATTACATTCAGATTTATGGACCACCTAGTAACGACTACAAGCACTGGACCGAGTTGAAGGCACGCCGCCGTTATCACCCCTTCCTTACCAGAGCCGGACAAACCATGCTGTAGTAGACAGTCAGGAAGTCTTTGTGGTAACGCTCCAAAGGACCAGCGCACCAAAGCAACAACCATCGTAATGAAGAGAGTCGTATTTTTTTAGTCGAAGATGAAGAGAATTTTAGATTGAAAAGGTCAAACTTATAGCAACACGAATGAAGATGAACAAAAACTGGGTCCAAATAGATCTACCAAAGACCAACATCGACCGAATCCCATGAGATCCAACAAAGACACATCTCCACACATCCTCCGATGACAATATTCGCACCAGCGGGGCGTGGATAGGACGTTGGAGACATTATTTCTAGTGAGGGACATCGTCACCGCCACACAGCCCCAACCAATACATTGAACCTAACAAAAACAAGAACGGTTCCCTCCCGCCGGTTGGGGGATGAGATCTTCCGCACCTCCACGGCCCAAAGGCCATCAGAGGTGGGCAGATATGCGGCGGTGCCGAGGAGAGAAGGAAGGAGACTTTTCTTTAGAAGGAGGAAAGACAACCTCTTAGGTCACATGTCTTACTGTGTCACTACAAGAAATATGTCAACTTGTGACCTTGACTATTGGTCACTGAATGGTCATTATTTCCCATTTGTGACATTTTTGTGACCAAAAATAGATGGCCAAAAGCTGGCCGTCGTAAACTGAAATTAACGACCTTCTATGTGAGAAGGTCATAGACGTTTACGACCAAAAAAAGGTCATTGGTTCAACGACCTTGTTAATTTTTATGTTTTACATGGGCCGAGCCCAACAATTCAGCCCATTTTATGTTTTTTCCTTGTTAATTTTTGCTAGCTACATGGGCCTGGCACATTTTATTTTCTAGGACGTGGCCTTCTATAATTCATTTCTTTTTTGGGCCTCGGCCTTTTTATAGTACAATTTATTTTGGGCCTCCACAACATACATTCAGAAGCTTGACATCACAAGCGCAGCTATTCCAGCTTGACATATCAGCATGTACGTATGCATCCAAACCATTTTATTTCTTTCAACAACCACAACAGTAAATAGTAGATACATTCAACAAAGACTAAATTAACATAGAAATGAAGCAACAAAGGGCAGTCCGAGTAGAGGAACTACATGGTACTACAACTACATGGGACTACAGCTACCATTTCTATTTCTACCAGCAGTAGTAGACGCTTGCAAGAGAGGTAGGGACTAGCAAGGAGCTAAACGAACAGCGACCAAGCTAAACTAAAAGCGATCATCCATCATCAATCAGTGATAGTAGCAATGAGTAGCAGCGGTGACGTTCGAGAGAGCCCCTCCATCTGCTGCTATTTGGTATGCCTGCTGCTGCTTGGTGTGCTGCATCACTGGTCACCCTGCACACATAAGGTTTACAAGAACAGGACCCTGATACATGAGATTGACACTCACAAGCTATTTGCATTTATATTTAGAACTGCGTCACCCCATTTACATTACTAGTTATGTATTGACATACTTATCTAAAAGAACAGATATAGAAACATATGAATTTTATTTCTGAATACCATTACAATAGTACTAACAAAACAAGAGCTCATTACATAAGAATCCAGGAAGAACCCATCAATTCTGCGCCAGAGCGGGAGATGTGCAGGCAAATCAAATAGTAGATTTGAGTAAGGGTGTACTACCTGAAATGGGAAACTAGGAGGAGGCCAATCCGACAGCAGCTGCAGAAGGACTTGATGGCCCAAACACCGTCGTGGA